ATAGGCAACCTTACAGAAAAAATAAGCATAAATAACCACGGAGATGGCAGGTGTAAACGTGAAAGATTCAGGTCCTGTGGTCACTTCTGTGTGAGCAGTCTTTGTACTCCTTGATGCCTGGTGAGGTTGCAGGAACTCTGCTTAAGCCACGATCCTTAAAGGTTTCACCCTTTGACAATAAAAATTAGGCTATTTTAATAATTTGTTTCCGATATGGATAATTCGATAATTTAAGTTCTGAGAATAGTAATTTGTTGGTGAGAATGCTCAGGAAGGAATTGAAAAGAGGTACTATAAATAATAGTACTGCTTTTATAGATAATAATAAAATTATTTAGTTTTATATATATATACATATATATATATACATATATACACATATATATGTATATATATATAAAATGTGGAGAATATTTGTCATTTTCTAGAAATATTAAAAAATCCGAAAATTATATGAGAACCAATGAAATTTTACAAAGAACTCAAGGAATGAGTTAAAAACAGAAAAGAAAAAGTAATTATAAAAATAATTGAACTTAACTCCCATAAATTAGGAAGTTCTGCTGAGTGTCATAATCTATTTTTTAAAGTCAGTACCAAATATATATATATACACAAATAACCTCTCAAGTAATACAGTCTAAGGACTATGTATTAACAATAAACATAAGATTCACTTTATTTAAAATTCATTTATGTATTAAAATTTCATTTATGCATTTGACTCATAAAGTTTCCATTCACAAATATTGAACACATTAACTTTTTAAAAATATATATTTTATTGATTTCAGAGAAGAAGGGAGAGGAAGAGAGAGATAGAAATATTAGTGATGAGACAGAATCATTGACCAGCTGCCTCCTGCTTGCCCCACACTGAGGATCAAGCCCGCAACCCAGCCATGTGCCCTGACCAGAAATCGAACTGTGTCCTCCTGGTTCATAGGTTGACACTCAACCGCTGAGCCATGCCAGACAAGCAAACACTTATTAACTTTTATGTTCTCAACCCTAGGAATGTATAGTAGAAAATCAGAAAAGCAGCATTTATGCCCTTATTGAACTTGTAGTCTATAGAAAAAAATAGCTAATAAATAAGTAAATATTTGAGTTATTTTAACAAAAAGATAATTGGTGACATATGAATAAGTGAGTGTTATCAGAAACTTATGCAAAAAAAGCATTAAGCATTATTAGAGCATTAATTTGTCATCTCAAAGAAAAATGTTACCTACTATATGGCATTGTGAAACACCAACAATTGAGAAAAATGAACAGAAACAGCTTCTACCCCAGAGTAGTAGTTCACATCCCAGAGGGAAGATAGGCAAGTATCAATAATGAACAGAAACAGCTTCTACCCCAGAGTAGTTCACACCCCAGAGGGAAGATAGGCAAGTAGCAATGATAAAAGAGAGAGAGAGAAAGAGAGAGAGAAAATTTCTTAGAACAAAGACTATCTTTAATTAAGCAGAAAATCTTGATGAGTCATTTTGATTATCTTTAATTAAAAGGCTATGTGACAAAAATACTTGATTTTCCATGCAGAATAAAGTGTGGAGTTTTATTGGGAATCCAGAGTCACTGGTTGGAATAGATGAGACTGACAGCATAAGAAACATAGAGTCAGCAATGTGGTGCAGTGCCTGGCCCCTGGTAATTGAGAAGTGAGTGGTACTGGATGATGGATGTCTCACATGTCTATTTAAAAGATTTACTGATGTGTATCAGCAGCTAATCTCTCAATTTTCTCTAGCACAGCTGTCCTCTAACTTACATGGCCATGACAATCACTTTCTGAAATACAGATTTGGGGCGTCACCCCAGAGTGTCTGATTCAGGTCTGAGATAGAGTCTGAGAATTTGTGTTTCTAACATGTCTCCCAAGGAGTACAATGATCTAGAAAAACACAAAATCTTCCCAAAGTTTGATATCACTTCTGTCTTTCC